AACCCCTGTTCGAGTACCGACCACAAGGCAAGAAAGAGAAGGGCCGATACCTCAGATAGTACAGAACAGAGTTGAGCCAATTTATGATCTCCCATGTCAACATCAACCGTTAGAGTTTAAGGGAACTACAGACCCAGTAGTAGCAGAAGAATGGTTTAGGTCCGTAGAACGTACACCAGCTTTGTTTCCCATGATGGATCGGGAGAAGATCCGGGTATGCGAGTTTCTTATTCCGGGGTGATGCTCGAATTTGGTGGGAATTGATAGAAGATATTCATGATGTTGCAGTAATGACTTGGGAAGAATTCAGAAGAGTGTTCGAAGCTGAGTATAGAACAGAGGACCGAGTTCATGAGAAAGTCCAATAATTTATCAGCTTGCGGCAGGGAGTGAAAGAGTATTCAGTGAAATTTAACTCCCTTGCTAGGTTTGCACTCGGAATAGTTAGCACTCCGAAATTGAGAAGAGACAAGTTTGTTTATGGGTTGAAGCCGGAGATAGCTCGTGATATAATGACGGGTGCTGATCCCCCGCCAACCTATAGTGAGGCCTTGAGGAGAGCAATGAAGACGGAAATATTTAAGAATAAAATTCCCCCAGTAGGTTCCTTGACAGAAGGATCAAGTGAGCCATTCTCCGCCCCGCAGATAGAAAAATTTGAGAGTGGGAAGAGCAAAGAAATGAAGAGTAATAAGAAGAAGTTTCAACCTAGGTAGAATAGAAGAGACTGGAGGAGTAAGCGGCCCCAGAATAAAGGGTTTCCTCCTTGTTTTAAATGTGGGAGGAACCACCTAGGAGAGTGTTTAAGGGACCAAAGGGTGTGTTATAGGTGCCGACAGCTAGGGCACTTGATGAGGGATTGTAAAGCTCCTCTCCCATCAGTAGCACAGAGTTCTAGAGGTACTAATGCTAGAGTGTTTACGGTAGCTCAAGGGGAGGCCGAGGCCAGTCCATCAGCAGTTACTGGTCAGTTATTATTTCATGCAGTTCCTTTATATGCCTTAATTGATTTAGGAGTCACTCATTCTTTTATATCTTATGGTATGATAGAGAGATTAGGTTTGAAACCTAGTAGAGTGAGCCAACGCATTAAGATAGAGTTACCTGATGGAGTTAGTGTTTTGACTCAAGAGATGTTGTTAGGAGAGTCCGTGGTGATCCATGGTCGAGAGTTAGCAGTTGATTTAATAGTGTTTGATATGTTTGACTTTGATGTGATATTGGGCATGAATTTCCTAGGGAGGTATGAAGTAAATGTAAAACCCCTCCCTAGCCGGGTACTTCCTAAGTATCCCTTGGCCATTGAGAACCTAGAAAACGCACGTCTAGGAAAGAAGTTTATTTTAAAATCCTATTTAAAGAATAAACTTGTAGTTTAAAACATATATATAGATATATGTGTTTAATTTTTTTTTTCTTAACTATAATAAGTTCATTGTATAATCAAAAAAATATAATTTCCTTTCTTGGAGTAAATTATGAAATCCATAGTAATACTTACTAGAACATACACACTTTTATAAAATTTACTAGCAATTTGATTTCCTTTATTAATACAACATATTTACTCCATTATAGAACATGGACATAATTACTACATTATGANTCCGACAATCAATCTCTACTCCATACCTTCCTAGGAAATCCATGCCCAATATCACATCAAAGTCAAGCATATCAAACATTATTAAATCAACTGCTAACTCTCGACCATGGATCACCACAGACTCTCCTGACAACATTTCCTAAGTCAAAACACTAACCCCATCGGGTAACTCTATCTTAATGGGTTGGCTCACTCTACTAGGTTTCAAACCTAATCTCTCTATCATACCATAAGATATAAAAGAATGAGTGACTCCTGAATCAATAAAGGCATATAAAGGAACTGCATGAAATAATAACTGACAAGTAACTGCTGATGGACTGGCCTCGGCTTCCCCTTGAGCTACCATAAACACTCTTGCATTAGTACCTCTAGAACTCTATGCTATTGATGGGAGAGGAGCTTTACAATACCTCATCAAGTGCCCTGGCTATCGGCACCTATAACACACCCTCTGGTCCCTTAAAAACTCTCCTGGGTGGTTCCTCCCACATTTAGAATAAGGGGCTGTCCGGGGCCGCTTACTCCTTCAGTCTCTTCTCTTCTGCCTAGGTTGAAACTTCTTCTTATTACTCTTCATTTCTTTGCTCTTCCCACTCTCAAATTTTTCTCTCTGCGGGGCGGAGAATGGCTCACTTGATCCTCCTGTCGAGGAACCTACTGGGGGAATTTTATTCTCAAATATCTCCGCCTTCATTGCTCGCCTCAAGGCCTCACTATAGGTTGGCGGGGGATCAGCACCCGTCATTATATCACGAGCTATCTCCGGCTTCAACCCATAAACAAACTTGTCTCTTCTCAATTCCGGAGTGCTAACTATTCCGAGTGCAAACCTAGCAAGGGAGTTAAATCTCACTGAGTACTCTTTCACTGTACTAGACCCCTGCCGCAAGCTGATAAATTATTGGACATTCTCATGAACTCGGTCCTCTGTTCTATACTTAGCTTCAAACACTCTTCTGAATTCTTCCCAAGTCATTACTGCAACATCATGAGTATCTTCTATCAATTCCTACCAAATTCGGGCATCACCCCGAAATAAGAAACTCGCATACCAGATCTTCTCCCGATCCATCATGGGAAACAAAGCTGTCATACGTTCTATGGACCTAAACCATTCTTTTGCTACTACCGGGTCCGTAGTTCCTTTAAACTCTGACGGTTGATGTTGACATGGGAGACCATAAATCGACTCAACTATGTTCTGTACTATCTGAGGTACCGACCCTTCTCTTTCTTGCCTTGCGGTCGGTACTCGAATAGGGGTTTCAACTCTCCCTTGGCTTTCTGCCATAACTTGTTGTACAATTCCCCGAATTCTAGCTTCATCCAAGGGAGGGGGCGTAGATTCTGGTGGGTTAGAAGGTTCTCCCTCATTCATCACACCCTTACTACGCTTTCGGGTACTACGCCTCATCTACAAAATAACCACATGCGATCAGTTCGAGAAACACTTAAAGTAAGGAAAGAATTAACTCACACAGTCGGCTATCGGACGTCGTGGCGACGAGAATAGTACACTGTCAAATCTCAAAATCTTGCTCTGATACCAAAATGTAACAACTACTTTATACTAAAATACTTATAGAAATACATATAATAAAATACATGTATATTAGCAAAAGTAGTTGGACCCAAATTGTTTTTTTTTTTTTTTTATACATATTCTTTACACAAATTTAGTATCATGTACATAAGTCATAAAAAATGTGGTGGATAGTGTAGCTATTGCTCCTCGCTTGCCGACGTCCATCCGACCGCATCCTCACCTAGATCTTGCAAAAACATAAAAGAACAACGGGATGAGTACAAATAATGCTCAGTAAGTAAATCCTCTACTACTCTATCCCCGTAACTCATTTCTTAATTCTTTCCTTATATTACTCTCACATTTTTCTGTTTGTTTCTCTTCTCACATTTCTTTTCTACTAACTCTCTCTTCGGATGTCACGACCCTATCTTACCGGAGGCACAGCTGGGACTCATCCCATTCTTCATGACTTCTACTTTTCTCTCTCTATTCTTTCTCATGTTTTCTCATTCTTTCTCACTTGATTGTCACGACCCTATCTTACTGGAGGCACGGTCGGGAACTTATCTCACTTTAAGAATAAAGAGAAAGAGAGAATGAGCACTAGAGCACAAAAAAAGAGTAGTGCTAAAGAAGAGAATAGAGTAGGTTGTGCAATGGAGAACCTGTGAGTGATGAGTAGAGGTCACGAAGAGTGGAACACCAGGTTCCAGCCGTGCCTTCTATAAGATGGGGTCATGACAGATTTTAGTATAAACTAGTTGTTACATCGAGCTTATGAAAATTAGCTTATAAGCAGTTAGTGCTTATAAGGTAATTTGAGCTTATTAGTATTTGGAATTTAAGTGGTTACGTATTTGATTAAAGTATTTATAAGTGATTGATAAGTAGTTGATGTGTTTGGTAAAATATGGCTTATAAATACATTTTATTATTAAAATGACTAAAAAGGGTACTACATTATTTTATCAAATAATAAATTATATTAACTCAATTTTTTACTATAATATTATCAAATTAAATAATATAAAAGTAAGGTTATATAATGAAATTTTAAAATTAAATATCATGATGGAATTTGAATATAAAAATATTATATTAAGGTTAACTCATTTTATTATGATGCATTTTTAATATAAAAATAAAATTACGTGATGGAATTTTAAAATTAATAATTATATTTGGTCAAAGTAACTTATAATGAGTGTTTATAACCCAAAAAAGAGAAAGTAGGTTTCTCTAACTTATTATTATTATTTGTTTATAAGTACAAAAAAATGATAAACAAATATATCAACTTAATTTTAGAGTTTATAATAGGAGACAAACACCCCCTAAGAAAGGAAAGAGAAAAGAAATGTTGTATTTTCCATCCAAATGGTATTTTAAAAGTTAGACGAGTATGAATTTGTCAATTAACCATTTTTTGGGTGGAAACATGTCGTTAACTCTGCATAGATAGACGGGAATATCAATTGTGTAATTCAATTTCATGTCTTTTGCATTATGTAATTTTTATGTGTTGATGCTGAGCAGTGCGCACCACACGACACCGGTGCTGCGTCAAGCTAACGGAAAGTCTACAAATGAATATGGCCACGGTTAAGCATGGCGATCTCCACTTGTTCTCCTCCAAGTCTCTCCGCCACGGGCGCTCTCTTTTGTTTGAAACAGCATCAAATCAACCATTTTGCTCATCGCTGTTGTATTTGATTGAAATAAAAATTTATATATTTTTCCAGAACAAAGAAATATTAGAAATGTTTTTTTTTTTTTTTTTTTTTTTAATCGGAACACTTTTGTTAATATTATGCAACAGTAATTTGTGCAGAAAAAATTCTAAAAAAAACTCTAGTAGCCTATTCCAATAATTCAAGCATTATGGATTTCTTACTACATTCGAGGGCAAGCCAAGTTACAGCAGAGCCTAAATAAGCCAGTGGAAAAGTGGGGCATAGAGCCTGCGTCTCGACAGAGAGTTAAACATGCAAAAAGTTATATAGAAATTAAATTTGAAGTAATAAAATCTCTTGGACTAGTCCAGCTTAGTATTATCCGACGAGTAAGGTCCGTGTCCCATCTCATAGAGCTGCCATCATGGCCTCACGCTTTATCTCCGCAGCTTTGCCGCTGCCTCGGAAGTACATGTAGATTTGCTGCAAAATACGATAAAAGAGAGAGATGAGGCTCAAAAGACTAATTAATGTTTAATAAACAAAGCAAGTTGGATTATCAAACCTGAATAACCCAGATACTGATAAGTGATTCAATGGCGAAGAATGCAAAACCAACGAAGTAGAATACCTGCAGTTATGAGCCAACAGTGTCAAGCCTTCTAAACGAGGCCATCACAAACATAAACATCTAACAGATCATTTCCTGCCATTCTTGCGACTGATTATTGGGCCACTTACGCCCTTTTAAGATGAATTAAGCATCATAATCCAAAGTACTTCTGCCGCAACTATGCAACTAAAGTAAGCTTTTAGCAGATGCAATATTCTTGTTATTACAATAAAATCATTAGAGAACTCTAAAATGTCCAGTATAAAACTCAGATGACTTACCCCAACAAACGCATTTTCGCTCAAAACTTCTATTGCAGGCAAAATACCTCTGTCCACAGGATGAAATAATACAAACGTTAGCTGCAGAACTAAAAAGAACTACCCATGCTTATATAAATATCCCTCCCACATTAATGCTCAGAAGGAAATATGAAAAAAAAAAAAAAAAAGGTTCTAAATGACAAAGAAGAGATGGTAAAATAAGGTCAGTTTGAGTATAGGCAGAAGTGAATTTGTCGTATTTCTCTTCATGTTGAACAAGAGGACAAATACAAAGTCTGCCTCATACTTGGGGAAGAATAATTCAACTTAAACTGATAACCTGAACTTCATGCGAAAGGTGTCATATCTTCCTTCCACTGCTGTAACATTTTCCCAAAATGAGGAAGATAGACTACAAAATTGTTGCTGAGTACCAAACTATTTCTCTTATATGCAAAGAAATCAAAGATAACTTACGTAAGAGATTTTCCCCTGAAAATAATTGGAGGAGCTACTGAAGCAAAGACACAAAATGCTATGTGCAACTGCATGGATAAAAGAGGAAATATGCGTAAGCCACTTGCCAGAAACATATTCTATTTGCACTAAAAAGATCTACTGTTTGTAAACTTACACTGTAAAAGATGAAAAACCACCCGAACTTCAGAGCACTATCAGTCCTGTAAAAGCAGTTCGTATGCAGTTATAAAGTGGACCCCATGTTTTAAGAAAAAAGAAATTGGAGTTTCACTAACAGCACTTGAAATATATTTACTTCCAATAATACGAGGTCAAATAAATAACCAAGAAGTGGTTCCGAATACAAATGTGTATCATAATTGGCTTGGCAAGAACCATATTTTACATTATTCTCATGAATTCTTATAGGTAATCCAGGTTTAAAGAACAAATGAGTTCAATATAAGAAAGAATCAAAGTAATTTACATCCAATCACACATTGCACATCAGAATATTGGGCACAGACAGAGAACATCAACACAGTAGCTACCAACAAGCTACAATTTCAACAGTATATAAAATATCTAACTAATTCATCAAAGATCATTTCCTTGGTATAATCGTTCAACATCCCTCATCATTCCCATAAAATGATTACAGGGCATTCTTACCTTAGTTTGTCAAATTTACACACTTCCACAAGATGAAGTCTGGGATTATGATTCATTATCTTCTATTTAAGTTCAAACAACAATGCCCAAGATAAAGGAAAACAATAAATGTGAGATTCAGACCCGTGCAGAATTCCTAAAACCAGCCTTAAAGTTCTTGAAAGCAATAAGAATTTACAAAACTGAAAACATGGAATCACTTGAACTTTCAGCAGCGGTTGTTTTATGGTATAAGCTTCATATGATATCCAATATTCAACAGCTCAGAAAGAAACTGAGATCAACTTTGAAATGAACAAAAGGTAAATACCTCATAGCACGATAAAGAGGGCGATACCACAACACATATGATCCAGGAATCCCCGCTAAGCCGTAGATGATAGCAAGAAACCAAATTGTTATATCTACAAAGAAGAAAGTTAAAGAGAAAATCAGTAGATGATGTTACAGTAACTACAATCTGTACCCAATAATAAAGTAAAAGTTCAGAACCAACCTCCCCCTTTGATCCAGCCTATGGTAACAGCAATAAAATTCCACACAAGACAACCAGCCAAACCTACGTGATGTTAAATTTAAGAACTCGTGTCAGCTTACAGCACATTAAAAGATTTCTCTACATAAGCAAGAAAAAAACACAGCCCAATTTAACAAGAACTTGTATTACAAACCACTGCGGCTGCAAGATCTATCTTATCAACAGAAATCCTCAAACGAAATGACAAATAAAAAGGTACAGCATGAGGAAGCATTACAACCAACCCACAAAATTTATTGAAACTTTTAAAATATTAGGAGTTGAAGTGAACATACCCAAAAATGTCGTGAATGCAACATACAGTGTCTTTTGTAGATGGATTGGTATTTCATTTGCGATATCATGATGGATAAGAGGGAAAAATGGTGGCCAATTTTTCTCTTCTATTACAACTCCAGCTGCCAAAACAAAAAGGAAGAACAATTATCGTAACCTACAAGGCAAGGCCTAACCTCATCTTCATCAAAATATACACACATGCATATGCAAAAACAATAAATATGGTATACCACGTGATATTGCTTCTTCTCGCCGTTTCAGTTCCTGAATAACATCGAAAAGACTTGAAGTGAGTTTGTGTAATGTGCCAAAACAATATAAAGGCAGAAAAGACAACATTCAGTGTCCCAATACAACTAAAGAGAGTGAAATAAGGTTAAATCAACATATTAGAAAAACATTTTGAAAATTCAGTTTTGATTGTGAAAATTTGTCAGACGAGTAGAAATAAAGTCAATGAGTAGCTTAACATTATTCCTCAGTTACAGACAATTATGATTAGAAACACTCTCCAATAATTCTTCGAGAAAACATATGCTCATATGATCCTGAAGGTTAGCGAACAATAAAGTTGTGCAACTGATATCAATCTCTTGCCAAATGATCTTCTGCAGAAGTATTTGGATTTATAAGATGGCCATATTTGAAACAGTACAAAAAATACCTGTTCCATCTTCTTCAGTTCAGCCTCTTTAGCTTGGAGCTCCTTCTCCTTTGCTTTTAGATCCTGGAACTAAACAGAATTTATTTATTTATTATTATTATTATTTTTTTTTTTTTTGTAAAAAAAAATGCTCTAATATCACATTCTGACAGCAAATTGTTAAAAGCAAATCAATATCTTTAATGTGTTTAATACCTTTCCAGAATCAAGAGGAATATCAATTGTCGCACCACGATCATAGGGTTCAGAAGGCAGGGGTGTAAGCCTTGAGTTTGCAGGGGAGACACCAGTCTCCTGGAAATTCAACAAAAATAGAAGTTAGCAAGGAAAGATACTGTACAAGCACATATCTAACATCAGTATATCAAACAAACATCAGCACACAACTAACGATGCATAAAATATCAGGCTATCTAAACTCTAACAATAGACACATTTACAAACTTTTAATGAACTTGCTTCCACAGAACAGTCCAATAAAGAAAACAAGCTAAACAAGCAAATGACGAGATTTTAATATGCACTTGGCTCAGAGAACTGTTCAATAATTCCATCCGTGACTATAATTAGGCAGCCTACCTTCACATCAATTACAGCCTACCTTACATCTAGGGAAATATGTGAAACAAGGGCCATATCTCCACTCTCAAGAAAGATGTCAGCTTGTCCTTCTATTATACCTCTCCTTGAGCTGGTATAAGTTTCCTATCATGTTCTGCATTTATAATCTACAGCTTCTTGTTTATTCATAATGTAATAAATAGAGAACCCAATTCCAAATCTCACGATTGAGTTGCAACCACTATAACTTAATGATAGTTTTGTAACTGAAAAAAATGTTAAAAAAAAAAAAAAATTATAACTTCATGGGATTTATCCTCAGAGCCAAGGAAAACAATATGGTGATAAGAGGAAGAATTACCAATTCGTCCTGAGATAATTTGGTTACTGCATTCATTTCTTTACTGTCAACACTAGCACCACCTCCACTACCAACTTATCATCACGAAACCTTTGACAACCAACACTTGCCTTACCCCCTGACAATTTATTTCCTCATCCTACCACTGCCACCATTGACAGCCCCAAATAAACATAATCCTATTACCATCGTCAACAAGTCAGAAATAGTAACTATCAGTACCATCACAGAACCAGCATATTCATAAGTTTCCAAAAATCCACATGCTACTAGAACAACTAACGGATGACCACAATGGAAATGAATAGTTCCCTAGACTCGCTGTCAACCAATTGTTTGGCATTTCTCAAATGCAATCCTACAATCAAAAAGTAGGAACAAGCTGATGAATTTAAGAATTACAGTTAGATAAAAAGCGCCACCACCATAATTTGATTGCTCTGATCCTTTCCCAGCAGCTGGTTCCTGGCATTATAAACTATAAACATACAAGCTCTTGCAGCTCTATAAACAAATCCTTCAGGTCATAACAATGGTGTGAATAAACAGAGTTAAAGTAGATTACAATTTAGTCATGAAGCATAATAAGCCTCCCCACCATTCAAAATATCAACCGAACGTCTAAACAATGTCCAATAACTGTATACTTTATATAATATATTACTAATTTGGTTTTATTACTTGTGTGTTTCAAATATAGTACAAGTGATTCTTATCAGAGAGCACACAACTAATTAAGTTTTAGTTAACATTGGTACGAAGAATTTTTTTTTTTTTTTTTTTTTTTGGGGGGGAGGGGGACGACGAAGAAATTTTAAAGACAGTCACAATGAAATAAGTAATCAGATGTCTATATTGAAACGGCGCGTTAAAGAAGAAGACAAATATAACAAAAGCAAAAGTTCTCAAGTTCCTAATCCATTTATTACTTAATGTGTAAATGTTTTCTTCCTTTGTAATCAATCTCAAACGCTTATAAAAGGTAAGAATCAGAAAGAACTGTAGATTTTCAACTTCCACGTTATCTGAATCCTAAAACGAAACTTCAAAAATTTTCTTTTGTTTCCGCACTTTTCTCAGCAACCAAACTGATCACCAACATCAACACATCCAAAACAAACGAACACAACTCTAAAACAATGAAACGTCAAATACACGGAACAGATCTAACAATTCATAAAAATAAACATTCAAAACCAAAAAACGAAATCTCCAGAATACACACAATGAGAAGAAATAATTCGAATTACATAATGCAAAAAAGTTACCGCGAAAGGATTGACTCCAACGTCGTAGGAGGTATCGTAGCGACTCATGAGAGCGAATCAGAAGATCCAAGAGTAGACGAAAGTGATAGAAGATCCAAAGAAGCGTTGTAAATGATACAATGCAGGTGAAAAAACGCTTTGATTTGAGCGGTTCGTGTCACAGAGAAGCTGTTCGTTTCGTATGAAAATGGAAAGGAAAAGAGAGAATAGTGTTCGCGCGTAATGCATGGACTGGGTTTTATACCTGCCTGATTTGGAAAAAAATCCAATTATATTATAATAGAGGGTCTATTTTCAAACAAAATTAGATTAACTTAGCTTTTTATTTTATATTTATATGGCATTAAAATTTTGGAATGCATGATTTAAATCTATTACTACTATTAGTCGGTAGATATAAATAAGTTTAAAGTACTAAACCCTTCCCAGTTCAGTTTTTATAACGTTACGAATAAATATCAAATAGAACCCCTATGATTTAGATTTTTCTAGTCCTTGTGATTTCAAAAATATCATCAACACCCTTATAAGGGTACTTGTTTAGTTGTTTTAACTCAAATATCAGTTTATCCTCTGAAATTTGAGACATGATTATTTTAATTTCACCCCTCAAACGTTAATATTAACGTCTCAATCTCATCAATATAACGTAATGCAACAACTTAAAGAGTTTTACAGTAGTTGAAAGGGACACAAAATAGCGCATAACACATGATTCTTCCAATAATAATAATAATCTTATCAAATGTATAAAGCTTATATTAACAATAAAACAAACTGGAAGAACCAAAGAAAAAGGTATGTAAATTATGATACACCAAAACATGAGCATTACAATGGTTTATGATACACCACAAACAAATTTGAACATCAAGAATTGGTAACAAATGATAGTATGAAACAATAGGATCAGTACATCTCTGATCCAATGAAGACACTATACCATAGTTTAATCAACAACTGAATCATCACAAACTAATTGACCTCAATAATCTCACTGTTGGGGTTCACAGATCTGTAGCTAATTTACCTTGTAAACTCCGCTTAGGAGTAAAGGTCAAATGCGTAGGATGTGAACTGTGGATGTGTCAGTATGGGCATCTGTTGTAGCCTCTTTACAGTGATTTTTTCTTCTTTTTTTTTTTCTGGTCCGGATTGTTAATCTGGCAGATCAAAATCTATCCAACTTCACCATGATTCCCAAGCTGAAACCACAAGTTTTGTTTCCTAATTTAGGTCAGTCTCCGATTGATTCATTGCTGCGCCGCTCTCTCCGAATCATTTCTACTAGATCCTGGACAACTTCAGACATTGGGGGCCTGAATTCTGGTTCAGACTGCAAAATACATTTTGATGTCAGGCACAGAGACAGGAGAAAAAAAACAGCTCTTTAATTTTACAAGCTTTTTTCTTCACAGTTCAATAAGTAGCAGTCCTAGTATTATCCTTTCAAAGTTAGAGTTGGTTAAAAGAACAATTGAAAAAAAAAAAAAGAGGCCCCAAAATTTTCAGGCTTCTTGTGCTCAGAGCATTCTCTTTTGACTCTTAACAGAGCCTAACTAACAAGTACAACATTTTCTGGAACCCAAAAACAGGTTCCAACCAAGATAACAGAAGTACTTATTAGCAACCCATAGTTAAGAATGAAAAATACTCACCTGAACACAACGAGAAATAATGTCAGCAAAGTGTGATAATGATTTAGCAGGGTATTCTCCATTAAGAGAAGGATCAACCATCCTAGATAATGCATCAATGTCATGAAGCTGGGGAATTGCCCATCTCACAAGAAATTGCTCCCCTCGATTTCGTGTCCTACAAAACATAGTTAAGAAGACAATCCAGAAACTGATAAGAAACAGGAATTCAATTTAAGACAGTGAACTAATGTCTGAGAAATAATGGCACAAAATCATAGACACAATATGGTTCAATCTCTTACCTGTCATATGATTTCCGGCCTGTTAAGAGTTCTAACATAACTACCCCAAAGCTATAAACATCACTCTGACAAGTATAAATTCCTGACTCGAATTCCGGAGCTCCATAACCATAAGCTGTTAGCAGCTGTCCTGACAACTGAAGTAAAATAGTGTCAGACATGATAGAGCTTAATAGCCAGAAACAATATGAAGAAAAAGAAATTCATTTTGCTCATGAAAATCAATTTTTGTGGTTTCCATCATGGCAAAAAACTGACAACTAACAAAATATCACAAAAATTTATGCAAATAATGCTTGTAAGGCTGATATATCTTGATAATTCTTCGGAATCTCCACAACAAAAGCAAGAAGCCAATTCCCCTAGTATGGAAGAAGCAAAGTGTTGTATCAAAAATATGAGCCATTTATGGTGATAGATAATAAAACCAACAATTTTTTTTCTAAATCCAATTCAGTTTTCAGGAAGTCCTAATCTGGGGCAGATGGCTCTCAATCAAGAAAAAGACATTTGATAAATGGTTGCTTCCTTCCAAAAGTAGAAGAAACCCAAGAAATCATGCACAAAGGTGTAGACAACATGAATATATAGGTCCTCGACATGAGTGCCACAGTAGAGGAACTTGAAACTTAAAATGGATTGAAACTTAAAATGGATTGAAACTTAAAACTCAACATATCTTTTATCATCGAAAAGTGACAAGGAAAGATCAATAGTCAAAAAAGCAAAGTTGAAAGAACAGAAGAAAAATCATACAAAGAAAAGAACCTGACGGCTAGGACATTCAAACCTGTACATTCTTGTTTTATTGAGATTTAAATCAAATTAGAATCTAATCAGATCCAAGGCTTTATTTTTTTAGCAACCTTACTCTACTATCAGTAACAAGTAAGAAATATTTAAATTCCTTCAACAACATACTTCCTAAATAAGCTACTAAAGCTTAAATATAAATTCTCCATCGTTCTGTCTTACCTGACTGACAGCACCCGATGAAATCAGAGGAGCCAAACCACAATCAGAGACACGCACAGAAAGATCATCATCGAGCAGAACGTTGAGTGACTTGAAATTTCGGTGTACAATAGGCGGCTGACAAATCTCATGCAAATACCTGATCAAATAAAACATTTGAAGGAGATCACCAATTGAAAGGGTGCATACTTCAATAACAACGTAAATATAAAACAAGAATAAAGCCCACCTATCATACAGTAGAAGTAGAAGAATAATAGAAGAAGATAGAAAGGTAGATAGCGCAGATAGATAAAAACAACCGTTTTAATTATTTCAATTCATTTGATATTATCTGCCCAAACACATTTAACTCTATTTATAGAGAGACCTAATCTACTCACATATATACAAGTCTCCGTCAAATAAATAAGATAAATCTTACCAAATAAGATAACTAAAACTAAGTAAAATAATGTTATCAAATAATAAAACAAAATAACAATAATAATAATAATTTCCTAATTAAAATATTTCCTAAAATATTGAAAGAATTAAGACCCTTTGGTTTACAGAATGTCACTTTTCATTCTATCTTTAATAAACTTTTGCTATAGTTTGAAACTGAAATGTTAGTGAAATTCCCGTTTGAACTGACCAAGAAGTTGAAATCTAAGAAATGAACCCATTCAAGCTGTAAAGTTAACAAGTAGGTGCAGAAACTGCCAGCTTAAAGTTTTCTGACTCACTCTAATGCTCTAGCAGCTCCAAGTGCCATCCTAATGCGGGAGTTCCAAGAAATATTTCTTTTTACTTCATCATCTGAGTGTAGCAGATCCTGCAGTGTCCCATTACTGCAATACTCATAGATCAGAAGCCTTTGTCCATGCTCTGCACAGTAACCCTTGAGCTCGACAACATTAGCATGTCGGATTCGGTCAATGTCGTTTACCAATTCAAGAAATTCGTCATCCTTCTGCTGACTTGAGGCCCTCTTGTCCAGTTTCTTTACCGCAAGTAACTGAAGTAGCATCCAAAAAGATCACACATTAGACAAAAGCCATTCTATTTGTATATAACATAGAATAACATGCTCAAAATGATAAAAGAGAAACCATATGAAAGAGAAGCAGGTATATAAGATTGAAAAAAATTCAAGCTGCTACCTACAAACTCAAATCACAACTTTCAGTTGAGGATTTGTTGGTAGTAAAANAAACAATATGAAGAAAAAGAAATTCATTTTGCTCATGAAAATCAATTTTTGTGGTTTCCATCATGGCAAAAAACTGACAACTAACAAAATATCACAAAAATTTATGCAAATAATGCTTGTAAGGCTGATATATCTTGATAATTCTTCGGAATCTCCACAACAAAAGCAAGAAGCCAATTCCCCTAGTATGGAAGAAGCAAAGTGTTGTATCAAAAATATGAGCCATTTATGGTGATAGATAATAAAACCAACAATTTTTTTTCTAAATCCAATTCAGTTTTCAGGAAGTCCTAATCTGGGGCAGATGGCTCTCAATCAAGAAAAAGACATTTGATAAATGGTTGCTTCCTTCCAAAAGTAGAAGAAACCCAAGAAATCATGCACAAAGGTGTAGACAACATGAATATATAGGTCCTCGACATGAGTGCCACAGTAGAGGAACTTGAAACTTAAAATGGATTGAAACTTAAAATGGATTGAAACTTAAAACTCAACATATCTTTTATCATCGAAAAGTGACAAGGAAAGATCAATAGTCAAAAAAGCAAAGTTGAAAGAACAGAAGAAAAATCATACAAAGAAAAGAACCTGACGGCTAGGACATTCAAACCTGTACATTCTTGTTTTATTGAGATTTAAATCAAATTAGAATCTAATCAGATCCAAGGCTTTATTTTTTTAGCAACCTTACTCTACTATCAGTAACAAGTAAGAAATATTTAAATTCCTTCAACAACATACTTCCTAAATAAGCTACTAAAGCTTAAATATAAATTCTCCATCGTTCTGTCTTACCTGACTGACAGCACCCGATGAAATCAGAGGAGCCAAACCACAATCAGAGACACGCACAGAAAGATCATCATCGAGCAGAACGTTGAGTGACTTGAAATTTCGGTGTACAATAGGCGGCTGACAAATCTCATGCAAATACCTGATCAAATAAAACATTTGAAGGAGATCACCAATTGAAAGGGTGCATACTTCAATAACAACGTAAATATAAAACAAGAATAAAGCCCACCTATCATACAGTAGAAGTAGAAGAATAATAGAAGAAGATAGAAAGGTAGATAGCGCAGATAGATAAAAACAACCGTTTTAATTATTTCAATTCATTTGATATTATCTGCCCAAACACATTTAACTCTATTTATAGAGAGACCTAATCTACTCACATATATACAAGTCTCCGTCAAATAAATAAGATAAATCTTACCAAATAAGATAACTAAAACTAAGTAAAATAATGTTATCAAATAATAAAACAAAATAACAATAATAATAATAATTTCCTAATTAAAATATTTCCTAAAATATTGAAAGAATTAAGACCCTTTGGTTTACAGAATGTCACTTTTCATTCTATCTTTAATAAACTTTTGCTATAGTTTGAAACTGAAATGTTAGTGAAATTCCCGTTTGAACTGACCAAGAAGTTGAAATCTAAGAAATGAACCCATTCAAGCTGTAAAGTTAACAAGTAGGTGCAGAAACTGCCAGCTTAAAGTTTTCTGACTCACTCTAATGCTCTAGCAGCTCCAAGTGCCATCCTAATGCGGGAGTTCCAAGAAATATTTCTTTTTACTTCATCATCTGAGTGTAGCAGATCCTGCAGTGTCCCATTACTGCAATACTCATAGATCAGAAGCCTTTGTCCATGCTCTGCACAGTAACCCTTGAGCTCGACAACATTAGCATGTCGGATTCGGTCAATGTCGTTTACCAATTCAAGAAATTCGTCATCCTTCTGCTGACTTGAGGCCCTCTTGTCCAGTTTCTTTACCGCAAGTAACTGAAGTAGCATCCAAAAAGATCACACATTAGACAAAAGCCATTCTATTTGTATATAACATAGAATAACATGCTCAAAATGATAAAAGAGAAACCATATGAAAGAGAAGCAGGTATATAAGATTGAAAAAAATTCAAGCTGCTACCTACAAACTCAAATCACAACTTTCAGTTGAGGATTTGTTGGTAGTAAAATGTGAAAACTGAACACAAAATTTCATATTTTTTGTGATATGAATTAAAAGATCTGCAAAAAGACTAGTGATAGCAATCCAGAGAAAGAATAGAACAAAACTGATGAAGAAAAAGTTGATATCACAAATAGTTTTCAAGGTAATGAGAGCCCAGGGTAGATTAAACAAACAATACACACAAAGAACATTGTAAAAATTAACTAATATTCAATTGAAAATCGTACCTTTCCATCAGGAAGCTGTGCCCTATAAACACTCCCCAGCATGCCAGAACCAATAAGGTTTTCTGGAGAAAAACTGTTAGTACATTGCTGAAGCGATGCGATGGTAAATGATCTAGCAATAGTGGAAAGATTCGCTGTTTTTGTGGAAGCTTTTGTCGTAGTTACTTCAGCAGGAACAATTGGTTTTGCAATGACCTTCTCAACAACAGGTGGTGGAGGAGGAGGTGGAGGGGGAGGTGGTGGAGGAGGAGGAGGAGGAGGAGGAGCCATAAACCTCATGTCTATCTCATAATCATCCTGTTTTGGTATTGATCCCAGCCTTCGGCCATCTCTTTCTTGTTCATTCTGTGACTTTGCAATTGCTCCCATTCTTCCCATCTCTAATCGATGATCGTCCTTCGGCTTCACAACTGCTTCCTTTGGAGCTGTTCACAAAATTTTCCACTCAACAAATTAAAACATGACATTGCAACAAATAATTTATATTAAACTGAATATCAGACTAAAAGCCAATTTATTTGCCTTTCTCCATTTGATTGGTGGGTTGTGCCAGTGGCTGGTTATCCCTTGGCTCTTCTCTATTGCCTCTATATACACCTACTTGTGCTTGATGCCGCTTGAAAATCTCCTCCCTTCTTCTGCTACACTTTGGCATTAAAAGCAAAAATGCTAATGCCAAAATTATAAACAACATCACTCCTGCAATTGATATCCAAACAACCCTTTTAGTCGTTAAAAATTTTTTCCCTCCAGATTTTGATTCTTCTGAAGAAGATGGCCCGTCAGCCTGTTTTCCAGGTGTGTGTTGAGAAGGTGGTGACCCAGAGACTGGTGGTGTCCCCAAAAGTGGTGGTGCTGGTGGTGGTGTTACTGCAGATGTTGGTGGAGGTAGTGGAGCAACAGTAGAATTAAATGAGTTCCCATCTTTTCTGCACAGTGTATCTCAATGTCAGAAAAGAAAGCATAAACCATATAGTAATACTGAAAGTTTTTAAACTACACAAAATTTTGCCACCTATTCCATTAATAATGTATGACATAATTCACCAAATCCATATTATGAAAACATAACATACTACATATCTTTAAAACTTTACACTCAAAAACATTAACGGTGTTAATTGTTATCTACATAATTCATAAACTCAAACAATTGTAACCCAAATATAGAACAACACAAACATCTATGCTATGCTATATTAAGTAATCACTTGACCCAAAGCTTAAACTGACAAGGGCACAGTCGCACAGACAATAGTATTAAGCTCTAAAATGGCTGTTTCAGAAACCAGATTAGGGCACATATCAACATTGCAGCAGTAAGTACCCATAAATTATCCCAACCAGCAAGTTATAATGAAATGAATTCTAATATCAACATCACTATTTACTTGCATGAATGCTGGTCTACCAAGAGTACATCAGTTCACGGTTTATATATCTCATCATTGTCATTTCCACGAGGTCATGAAGTACAAATACCTTTATAGAACTACGTGATTCAATAGACCACCTTCACAACTAAAATTAATTGTTTTTCAGATTACAGGAAGAAATCAAAGTAAAATGGGATAGAAGAACATTCATTTTCTAGATCCATTTTTGCTTACATGTTCTGAATCATGTGGCCAGTTTGAGAAACAGGCGATTGCATTTAGTTATAGTAACTGTGGTGCCTCAAATAAATATATCTACTGTCAACATTTTACCAATAATTACTAATTTGATGACCTTTAAGGGAGCTTTTAATGTTACTTGAAGAAATCAGCAACACACACGTTCCATGAGTTTGGCAACATCATTAAAATTACTTTTTTCTTCATTGGACATCATATTTAACAGCATAAGTCGCATACACAAACCAAAACACTTATGACTCTCACCTGAAATTTGGGATCTGCAACAACTTATCAGGTATGGGCCCAGAGAATAGGTTATTCTCAACATTCCTGTGGAAAAGGGGGGCAAATATAAGTTGGAAAACATCCAAAAAATTCTCAATACCCTAGAATATTGCTCTTGAGATTGTAAACAACTATATAAATTAGCAATTTATCCGAACAATCAGATGAGACAAGGTTGAGAAGAGTACAAATCTCTCAATGGAAGATCTTGTAAGACATCAAGGGTGCCAGACAGCTGATTGTTCTGCAAACGTCTGCCAACTGAGATATTAGCTATGACGATTAAGATATAATAGGTAGAATACAAATAAATTCGTCAAAGAGACTCACAGAGTTGTCAGTTGTGACAAATTTTCCAGAGACTGAGGCAGTTGCCCACTCAAATTGTTACTAGATAAATCTCTGCATAAACATAAGTGGCACCATCAACCACATATAGCATGCAAATTATAAACTGCAAGCAAAAAATTTGTCAATTTCAATGAACCTACAGATTGATCAATCCTGTCAGGGCTTCAAAGGAATCTGGTATTTCTCCACTTAAAAGATTACTGTTCAGAGACCTGAAAGGAATAAGGAGATGAGGATTAGGAAAAAATTAAAAACTGAAAGAATTTCCCACTGAGCATCAAAACAATAATATAGTAGGAAAAATTACATGTCTGTCAGTATAGTCAAAGATGCAAGAGAAGTCGGTATGCTACCAGAGAACTGATTAGCTGAAAGAAAACTGACAAAAAGGTAAAGACTATTATAACTTTTGCATAAGAAGGTGAAAAGAGCAGGTTGAACAGATATGGTAAAACATTCTATTCCAAAGTTGGGAATAACATACAAGTTTTGCATGGTAACAGGCAAATTGGACGGGATACTGCCCCCAATATGGTTGTTGCTTAAATCTCTGAAAAAAAAAAAAAATGAAACAATAATTAGGGACAATATCTTCATATATATCAACAGAAACATTATCATACATTTCAAGTGCAATATATTATTATCCAATACAACCCCAAAACAAAAACACCTACCACCACTGTACCTCACATTGAGTTGGTCAGTCGTGGAAAAATCCAAATCAAACCATCAAAATTTTCAGAAAAGTAAATGAAAGGTATACTTCACCCAGCCAACTAGTTCACCAGAATTCTAACTATCTAATCAAGAAAATAAATTAACTAACTTCAAAGTCTAAAGTCAAGCAAATTCTTGACTTCCCTAAAATGTCCTATATCTAAACCAATATAATTGTACCATTTCACTTGCCTCTTGCCGCAGACAACTGCCAGAATACATGCCAAAGTTATCCTTTTGCCTTAAAAAATTCTCCTTAAAATAAACATCCTAACGGACCCAAAAATGTCACTGAAAGAATGACTGGACTCTTTTACCTTTAGCAGTGGTGGTGGGAACAAAAACACACAAACAATCCCACTTACATTGCTTTGATGGAAGCAAAGGCATTCAAGTTATTGCCCAGTTCTCCTCCTAAATTAGCACCATTAAGAACTCTATAAGATCAAAAAGAGGAAAAAACAAAATGTAAGAGATGAATGTTTACATCGCCAAGAGATATTTAAAATGCAAAGAGTACAGTAGAGGTTGCCATACATCTTCATTATATCTGAAGCATTACAAGTAACACCTTGCCAACTTTCACCGCATGGGTCTCCCCCAGTTGCAACCCACCCGGGAAGTTGAGGGGAACCCAGTGCAACGTATAAGTTATTAATCGCTGCAACTGATTCAATCAAACCAATGCAAACAAATTAGATTCCAAACTCCATTTAGTATACGATAATCCTCAAAACAACTGTAAATAACCAAACACAGATCATTCAAATATACATTTAAGGCTTAAGATTCCAGCACAAGTCAAATGAGAAAGGAAACAGTGAGATATAAACCTGCGCACAATTGAGTTGACGTTTTGAGTTCAAAACAGCATAAAAATTAAAGAGAAAAAACATCAAGACTACAATGTCATGTCATCTTCTTAGCACAAAACAGAGAAAAGAAAAAGCTGAAAAGCCAAAAACCATGCTTACCATCACCGGGATTAGTAAGAGCATCCGAAATTCCAGCTGCCCAGATCAGCATAAACCCCACAAAAGCCTCTACATAGATCTTCGAATTCATACACTCTATTTTAGATCTCTCCATCCCCATTGATCACAAAATTTCCTGTTCTACAACATTAGCTGAATCTACACTCTCCAATCTGAAAACTAAACCCAACAAAAGCTCATAATCAGTGATCTATACTTGTAATGATATTATAAATTCACAACAGTTCAAGCTCAAGCCACTTCCGAGACACAAAAAATAAAAACAAAAGAAAAAGAAAAGTTTTACCAAAACACAAAGATGTTCAAATAGCAAAAAAATAAAAAAATGGACTTACGAAGAAGAAGTAGAAGAAATGCTAAGCGTAATTGAAGTAAATAAACACAAGAAGAAGGAGAAAAGTAAAAGACTTTTAGAGAGTGAGGATTTAAAATGAAAAATAAGAAAAACTTAAGAGGCTAAGATCAATGAATTATGCCAAAGAAGAGATATAGACGTAAGCCAAATATAATTACATCAGAATGCATAAAAAAATATTCATAATATTGAAGAATTAAAAGAAAAGAAAGTAAACCTGCTGCGGAAAGAACTGGAAATAAAATAAAAGAAGAGAAAAAGGCTACGAAAATGTAGAGAGAGGGAGATGAACTAATGGAACTATTTTCTTTCTGCTTTCTATCTTCCTTTCCACTGTTTTTCTCTCTCTCCTCTCTTCTCTTTTAGTTACAATGAAAGAGTGCGTGCAAGTCATACATATCTTCTTCCTATTTATCACATTGTGTCCACGCGCTGTGAGCTTCAGTGAACTCCATCCTTTTCACTTGGTGGTTTGAGTGCGCGTGGGGGTGGATGGTGTTGAAAGGCAGAAAAGAAATAAACGGTGGTAATTGTCAAAGCCGCCAGTTTCCGAACACAGAGAGTTCACGTGCTTTGCCGAATGATTGGCATGGGCTTTCTGTATTAATTTTGCTTCATATGTTATTTCCTTATAATCAAATTTTTAAAATCTCCGTTTAACATTTACTGATTTGGGCCAACAGACAAAAAAGAGGGAGGAGCCCATTGGGCCAAATGACCGTTACAGGGAATTGTCATTATGTAGGTGGTGGATGATAAAATTCCAAGTCAGAAAAGCCACTTTTTTTACTAAAGCAAATTTCTTTTATCCCTTTCAACGGACAAAAAGAAAGTCTTAAAATATCTTATAATAAAATAGTGGGCTTTGAAAGGTAATTGCTCTTTAATCTTTTTTCTATAGCTGTCATTCATCAATCCTTGTCCCACCGACCAAATTACTCTAAACCCCTCTTCTTCTTCTTCTTCTTTTTTTAATTTATTAATAGTAAAGTATAAAGTTATTATGATTCTGATTAAGAATCTTCCGTTTTTTTTTTTTAATATTAGGTTATTGTAAACATAGATGAATTTGCATTATTGTTTTGAAAATTTTGAGATTATAAGTAGTGAAATCAAAGAGAGGTGGAGAAGAGGAAAATAGTGATAATCACTGGTCTGAATGTCACAGAAAATCAAGTTTAGATTGACGTTATGACAACAATTGACATGAAAAAATAAATGTAGGGGAATAGATGATGGTTGGCCACATCTTATATGGGTTTAGCCATTAATAAATAAGATAGATATATGGTTAAGTCACTCTCGACTGTCGTTTAAATATTTGATATTAATATCTCAGTATATAATAATTAGTTATGATTTCGTATTTTTCTCAAGCTGTCACACAATGTTTCTTTCCTTCTTGCTAGGGTCCCATCCTTGTTTTGTTGCTCCAGGAAAAGACAAATGAAACTTCCAATCATAGACTGCCACGTATGCATCACTTACTGTGCTTGTCGAATAAAGGTATTATGTCCTGGAATTTTGATGTGGTAAGTATATAGTCATTGGGTATAATTGTGATTTTGAAGAGTAGAGACGGATGATCATGCCCTCTCATCATTTGAAATTCCCACTGGGGTTGTGACAGTTGAGATAACATTAATCCATTCCTATATATATATATATAAACCCACCCTCTTTAGTCCACGGTGATAAACTTAGTTTGATTGCACATACAATATTTTGATGAGACAAAATACTAAGTCACTCTTCACTAAAATAATTTAATCCATTCCTATACATACAAGAATCAATAAATAAATGCTATAGACGTAGTTAAAGTCACTCTCACTAAAATAATTTAATACGAATATCTTAGAGCATGGCTACTACTTATCCATTCATATTTTTTTATATGACGTGACACAACAAATTGTATCTTTCCTGTTGCTCCTTTTTTGGTTTGGGCTGCTCGAGAAAAGGGATAATGAAGTGTCCAATCATGGAGTGCCACGTGTTTATGTTTATTGAATTGATTTAAATCCTTTTCATTTTACTGTATTCGCTTTCCCTCCAATAAAATATTCAGCTTTCTTACTAATCTTTAATCTCTGTCACTTATAAAGCATATGTGATAGCAACTGACTTTATTCTTTTAATTTTTAACTTAATCTCTACGAATCCATTAAAAATAACCTATTTTTTATGGTTTTAACTATATATTATACAATTGTTTTTATCGCTATCGCATTGCCTCCATTTTGATGACACAAATGGTAATGATATTCTGATTAAAATTTCATCCATGCTGAATGTGAAGTCTAAGTTTTCCTCATGGAAGCATACTATTTTGTGATAACAACTTTAGGGATTTTTTTTTTACGAAAATCTAAATGTTTTCATTCATTTAATTATGAAAAGTTGACTAATTGATCCCTATCACTTGACTTTAAAACAAGGAAAAAGAAAAAGAATGGTTTAAGTGATTGCAACGTGATACAACATTTACATGATCCACCCACCTCATCCTCTTCTTGCTCGCCTTTTTTCTTAATTCTGTAAAATGCTATGAATGTCAAGTCCTCAAGATTGACAAATTAAAAACGATAAACCCAGCAGGCCCCAAAAAGTTGCATAACAAACTTCCCCATGTCATGGCCCATGCCCTTGAATTATCCTGCCAGGCCCAAGAAGCCCCTTCATCATCTTCAAATCCAATGAGGACCCTAAATCGCAGAATCTGACAAACTCACCATCACCAACCGAAACAACCGTAACAACCCCATTTTCATCTTTGGCTTTCTGTTTTTACGCCAGATTTTTTATTTTTTATTTTTTCTCCTGGTTTAGATTACATACTTGAGATTTGGGTTTCTCTCTGTGTTATCCTCCCCTAAGATAACGTTAGAGAGAGAAACCATGAAATCTCGCTTTACCACAACTGTATTTCGCGCCCTCAACACTACAAGGGCATTTTCGTCTTCCACCCCCACTCCAAACCCATCTTCTTCTCAATTCCCTCAAACCCTTGCGGGCCTACGGGCTCGCCTGGCCTCCGAGTCACCGTCCCTCTCCAATTTTGTCGATCTTCAATCTAACAATTCGTACTCCGTGGAAGTTGGAACGAAGAAGAAGCCTTTGCCCAAGCCCAAATGGATGAAAGAATCGATTCCTGGAGGCGATAAGTATGTTCAGATCAAGAAAAAGTTGAGGGACTTGAAGCTTCATACCGTCTGTGAAGAGGCCAAGTGTCCTAATTTGGGTGAATGCTGGTCTGGCGGTGAAACTGGGACAGCAACGGCCACGATTATGATCTTGGGTGATACTTGTACTCGCGGTTGCAGGTGATTATCTTTTCTGTTTTTAACAATGTGAAATGAAATGGACTAGAATCTAGAAATTGGCAGCTTGGTTTGATTTAGTCCATTTGTTTTTGTGGGATATTGTGATTGTTTAATTGAGAAATTTTTATGGCTGTGTGTTTGGTTTGTTGTATGAGTATGTATTGAATGGTGTTTGTGTTTCAGTGTACTGGGGTTTTGTATTAATGTTGATTAATTCGATTGTTTGAAATTTCAGGTTCTGCAATGTGAAGACATCACGAACACCTCCTCCACCTGATCCGAATGAACCAACCAATGTGGCTGAGGCAATTGCATCATGGGGTTTGGATTATGTGGTGATAACCAGTGTTGATCGAGATGATTTGCCTGATCAAGGAAGCGGTCATTTTGCTCAGACGGTGTTGAAATTGAAGGAATTGAAGCCAAATATGCTTATAGAAGCGTTGGGTATGAACTGTTGTATCTTCTACTACATGAGTTTCTCTATCTGTGCTTATGGATTTAACAAGTTCACACATATATCTGGTGGGGTTAAGGAGGGCTGCTTGTGATATGAGTTGATATAGAATAAGGACTCTTTACGGTAATTTGGATGTATAGATTTCTGAGCGTGGCTTAGTTCATTCGTTTTTTATTAATGTTGCCTGTGTTGTATTGATGGTGTAGTTCCTGATTTTCGTGGAAACCGTGGATTTGTGGAGGAAGTTGCAAAGTCAGGGTTGGATGTCTTTGCACACAATATTGAGACGGTTGAAGAGCTTCAAAGTGCTGTGAGGGATCACCGTGCCAATTTTAAGCAATCTTTGGATGTTCTAATGATGGCCAAAGAATGTGCTCCTGCTGGAACACTCACCAAGACCTCAGTAATGCTAGGCTGTGGGGAAACACCTGATCAAGTTGTAAGTACTATGGAAAAGGTGAGAGCAGCAGGTGTTGATGTGATGACATTTGGTCAATATATGAGGCCATCAAAGCGTCATATGCCAGTATCTGAATATATTACTCCTGAGGCCTTTGAGAAGTATCGAGTACTTGGCATGGATATGGTATGTGTTACCTTTCTATAGTAATTAGTTTTGTTCTGGTGGTTGCCTCTTTCTTTTGACCTTGATTTATTAGTTGCTCATTGAATCATAAGCATGATTTGTATCCTTATGCTTCACACGCTAATGAATAATGACTATTTGACTCGCATAGCACGATATGTTCTCCAAGTTTGATTGGTGTGTTACATTTGCTTATATGATACTATCGTTCTTGGTATATGTTATTAATCCTCTTAGATGTAATGATGCCTAGAGACCTAGTCATAATAGATTCGAAATCCGTAAGGTTTTATGAAAGGTTACAGCTAGAAAGAAAGTTAATAAAGCTTTCTATAGAAGATGAAATGAAGACTACACTACAACAAAGGTGAAAAGAAGAAATGAAAGAATCAAACAATAAGTATACCTTGCATAAGAAAACGTGAAATGTTACTTCAGCCAACTTTTACTCTCACGAACTCTTCCTTATCTGATCCAGTGTCTTCTAAAGTCAAAGACCGTATAACTAGAGAATGTGACACCCAGCTCATATGAGGCATGACTAGAGGTTCCGCCTTATGTTTCAGATCTGAAGGATTCATCTCGTTGACTGCACTAGTGTATTCCCATTTTTGACTATTGTATTCAAATGGTCTCTCTCAATCCACTTATGGTAATATCACACCATAGCTGAAGCAGTAGATTTTTCAGTTTCTTTCCCATGCCGATGATACTCTGGAACAGGGTACTCTATGGATCCTGCTGTATGTTTACTCTGTTGCCTGTAATTTTTTTTTTTTTTTAAATAACAAATTCATGAAATGTCTTCACTTTGTATTGATCTTGTGTGTCTTTATTATCTATTGATAAACAGATAACAATTTAAAACTTGTCAAGATCATTATGCCTCTGGTAATGACTATATGTCTAACAGTATTGTACCAACTCCTGTAAATACTTGTATTAATTATTACTTTTTAATCATGTGACATGTGGCAATTAACGCTGCTTTCTACATTTCTTTATGTTTAAGTGTTCAACCTGTATTGGTTGTAACATTTCTTTACTTTTGTGGAACAGGGATTTCGTTATGTGGCATCTGGTCCCATGGTGAGGTCATCGTACAAGGCGGGTGAATTCTACATCAAATCTATGATAGAATCTGATCGCGCTGCATCTTTGTCATAGGTGCCTATGTGATACTTCCATTTTTTTTTTCCCTATACAAAACATGAAACCATCAAACTGTTTATTGTTCGAATGGTAATTCCCCTGGCATAAGACCAGTGAGCTTTAGGACAAGTCTATAGCAACTGGATTATGGATGAAATTGATCGGTTGTGACCCCCCAAAAAAAAATTAAAAAAAAAATCCTGTTTGGCTTGTACATAGGTTGCATGAGCTTGATTGGCCACCAGTCATGTTGTTTAATTTTAATAATGTTCTGGCTCTGAATCCGATTTGTTGTAATTATTGGAATTTCTTTTTGGTTGCCTTTTTCCTGGTTTTTTCTCCTTCGCTTTTAGATAATTGGGTGATCATGTTCAAGGTGTGAGAGTCACTGTCAATATTATACTCACAAACTTTTTTCATTTAACTTTCTCTTACAAAAGCGATGTATCAACTCGTAACTGATTAGTTTATAATAGGTTTCGTCTCACTAAATGCGAGTTAATCAATTGCATGTTATCATAGTCCTGGTCAATTCGCATTTGATCAGACACTCATTGTTTGCTTCTGCGATTTCAGTTTTGTGGTAAGTAATTAGCTGCCTTTTAATAGTTTTAGAATTTTTTCTCAAGGTGTAGCTCAGTATACAAAATCTGGTTCAATTGATGCTCGAGCAATCCTTCTCTCATCCACCCGGAGTCTCTGGTTACGGTTTACGGGAGGCTTCTATTTTGGGTTGCATGCGGCGAGCATTTGAAACCGTAGATGTTAGGTGGTAACACAGACCACTCTGGTTTCCGGTGGTATAAAAATTGGATGAATGCCATACTGGAAACCCGAGAGCAAGGGCAGGATGGTTGATCTTCCCTCTACTCTTTTTGTTTGGCTAAATTAAAATAAGCACAAACTCAGGCTCAAACATGCTGTAGGCAGTAGGTTGCCCATGCTTTTTTAACCCAACTGTAGAGTTTTTACCCCCTCAAGTTTGAGTAGATTCAAAAGTTGAGCAGACAATTTATAGTTGGAAGGTCCAATGCTGCTAACCTATTACTAGCAAAAGCTTGACAATCGGACCCCATGGAATACCGGAAACAAGATACCCTTGACCATGGAGTAATCGTTTTCTAATGTGGAAAAGATGTCTAATGCTTAAATATATGTCTTAAGATGTTGGGTCTGGTAAAGGCCTTTCACCGTTGTTTTATTCTTAAGTTGGGTCTAATTTGAGGGCTTGAGGCTCCCATCCCACTCTGGAAAGTAGAAACCTCACTATGTTGATCATAGCTTCCAATATCTTCCGTACTGTTCATATCCAAATAATCAATCAATACACCTTGTTGTCTTTAAGATCCCCTTTTGATTCCCCTAAACATAATTACATCCAATCTGTCCTAATAGTTGCCCCTCCATCTCTAATTATTTCCCAAAAAGTTCTCAACAACCGACTGCAGTAACTCAATCTCTTCTACAAAGTCCGTATCACAAAGCCGAAAGCCCACACCAAACCATTTTATTGGGATGCTACAAGTATAATGCACACTCCCTCTTCCTCTTAGACAAATAAAAGATCATCAAAATCTCCGCCCATCTCACTCCACTCCTCACTCCTCACTCTCCCACTTCCGCCAAAACCATCCTCAACACTACTTGTCAATTCCTTCCAAACTCCGAACTGTTCACCATCTACATTTTGTAGCCGTTGCAATTAAAAATATTCAAACTCAAACTAATGCCACACTCTCACAGCCATCACTAACATTATTCCTACGAAATGGGTTGCTGTATTAGCTCCAACAAGACAAAAAATTCACCGAATCACCACCATTTTCCATCAAAAACTACTCATTCCGACAAAACCCATGTGAACAACAGACCTCCTCCTCCTTGTCTTGAAGAAGAAACTGTAAAAGAAGTTGTTCTTTCTGAAACTCGCTTGCCCAAACCACAATCTCCATCTCCGAAAGAGACTGAAGCTGACACCCTCCACCACATACACATACCCGTAATTCACGAACACCACACGGAAGCCAAAGATTTGATTTTGATCAACAAACACCACGAAGAAATAGAAATTTCTCAAGCGTCTCAAGTGTCTGAAATATACAGCGTCACCGAGAGCTTCTCAAGTGCTACTACTGCAACAACGACAACTATAACAGAGAAAAGAGAAGATGAAGCAATCAGCAAGCCCACCACTCGCAGATCTCCAGCTAAGGTACCGAGAAGGCGTCCTTACACGGGAGAAATCTCACGTGGAGTGAAACCTCCGGCGGATAGAGCGGGGGTGTCAAAGTCAGCTCAAGGGAGGACAATGCCACGTAATGTGAGGTCTACAGGAGAGAGGGGTTCTTCTGTTAGGAGGTCGAGGTCCCCGGAGACTAGGACGGTGGCGGGAGTCGGAAGGAGTGCGGGGAAGGTGGGTGGCGGAGGCAGTGACAGGTTAAGAGAAGAGAAGGAAGTTAAAAAAGAGGTAAACGACGGCGTTTTGGAGAAGAATAATAACATGGTGGAGTCAAACGAGTCCCTTGACAATCCTCATGTTTCGTTGGAATGCTTTATCTTTCTGTGAATTTTAATTTGTATTGGGAAACAAAAACGTCTTAAAAGTAGTTTTCTTGATTTGGTTGTGAGGAGTGGTATTTGTAAATTACAATGTAAAGTAGTAGTAACTGATTAATCTTATGTCGAGTTTTCAAATATTTCTCTTCTTGTATAATTGGTGATGGGATGTTGAAATGTTATTGAGATTGTAAACTTGTATAGGGATGTGTAAATGAAATGGTGGTCTGGGAATGGAGGAGCATCTTCGCTTTCTCCGTTTCATTGGGATAAGGAGTAAGAGGACAGAGACTTCTTTCTTTTGTCCTCCCTTGATTAATTTAATTGTAATTTTCAAGGGGACATATACTGTTCATAAATCATGCCATTGCTTGCAGTTTATGACATCGACAAGGGACACAATATCTCTCTTTACAAAACTATTTGGAAAATGTCAAGGACTATTTGCAACTAAAATAATGTTTTACATACATTATTAAAGTTTATTAATTTTCAATAAAGTCTTTTTTTTTAAATTTCAAAATTGTAATTATGTAAAAATATGAAATGAAAAACTGATTTTGAAAACTTTTGCACCAATGTATTTAAAAATGGCGTTTGAATTTTGAAAGTACCTTTCCTGGTGCCTCCCCTATTAAATAAAAAGTACTCCCTTTTTTCATCCATATTCGAAGAATCTTACATTTTTTTTTTTGTTTATTGGAGTATCAGAACCGGTTTACGTACACCCTAATTAATCCTTAAGATCCATTGAACACTCTACATGTTTAATATTCCAAGGTAAGTTACAAATATGATAGATGACCCCAAATTCAAACCCAAAAAATCAATGAAAGGAACAAACTTTATTGAGCGTCAAACTGACCCTTAAGGTTATGCTACATGCATTTCGCCCGAGAGTAATTTCACGCCACAAAGGCAAAAACCTCTTGTTATACATAAAAGAAGCTAATTAAATAACACATATTCTGATATTTACTCCTCGTATGCATATTAAATAGGGATATTAAATAATATCTTTCTTATATATATTTATCAAAATGGAAATAACATTCAGATTCTTTTTTTTTTTTTTAAATCAATCACTAAGACTCTAAGAGAGCCTGAGGCTGCTCGTATACACACATGCCAATGCCATAATCATCAAATAGAAATATACATATATATGATGAATTGAACATAAATTCAGGCTCTGTTCTATGATACTCATATGCCTTCTAACCTATTTTTACTAGTGACATTCAGTATACTAAATGAAGTGAATCGGAAAAATACCTTATGAAAAACTTGGGGGGTTGGCTCGCAATCTAGATACAACCTTTTGGTTTTTGAAGTAGGGGTACAAAATAATCTGAAGAAAACACATTTATCTACAGTGTTTTCTCAAACTTTTTTTTTTTGAATCCAATCTCAAAAATCAAAAGTTAGTTTAAAAATCTGAAAACCATAAAAGTAAAGTTTTTTGTTCTCCATGTAAGATTGTATCCGGAATCCAATTTGTATCCCAAATCTTCAAACTGTTACATAATCATTGGAAACTATTTTGGGATTGCTAACCAAACACCCCCATTTTTTTTTTAATTATTTTCAACTAGAGTTGGGTTTAAGGTAGTGATTGAGGTTGAGGCAGAATTGAGGCAGTTGTTATGGTGATTGAGAGGTGGTAAGATGCGCTCCGGAGGACAAGGCGGTGGAGCTGGATGTGCAATGAAGGTAGGAATTTGCTCACCAGGCATCAACACCGATACCCCTTTAGCATACACTGTCATCTGAATAATTAAGCACAAATGCAAAAGATATTATGTTGCAGTTTAAAGAAGACATCTATAGCAACATTTCATATAAAGTAACCCAGAAGTCATGGTGCTCATCACTTAGCTAAACAACACTAGTCAAAGATTGTTACCTGACATTGACATTATTCTGCATTCACATGAAAAATGAAATCAATGGATCTTTTTTCATAATTTTCTAACTAATGAAGTATCCCACAAGTTATTGTGCAACATATTTTATTGTGAGACAAAAGGACAAATTTAAAAACCTTAGAAGGGGGAAACTCTAAACAAAGATAGTTTATGCATGTGATTTCATTATTTTAATTGGCATAGCTTCCACACAGAGAAGACAAAAGGTTAACCTTATGATCATTCTTAAATTACAAGCATGGGACATGAAGGAGTGGAGGTAACCTTACCGACCATTAGAATATTGCAGTACAATAATACCACTGTCTGTAGATCTGGTAACTCTTTCCAGAAATCAAGGGTGTAAATCTTCACGCTTAAGTTATGGAGGGAATTGGTAACATGGAATGGTGAATGAAGCCCACTGAATTTACGTTAGTATACTAAACATATTCCAAACTCTACACCACTCAAAACTAGATATTAATATCAGTTTGATAAAGTTATTTGACCTTACATAGCATTTAGCAACACTTCAATCCTGATTGAGGTTTGTTGGCAAACAATTTAGGCATGAAAACCATTCTCTCAAGACATGCTTGCAGGAATTTAATGGCGTGGGACAAAGTTTGGGATGGCACGAAAAGGAGATCGTCAACGCCACTTATTAATATAAGATGATTTTAACAAAAATCACATGGATGTCTCCATGGTTTTCTCACCATTAATAACAACAATTCCTCTGAAGGATGCTCTGCTCACATTGGTTTCGAGCATTTCATAAAGAATTTCATTTGCAAAGAAAGTTTGACAAAACTTCTACTTTGGCTTCTTATGACATTACAAGAGACAAAACCCACATGCTGGTGACATTTGCAGGTCCCATTAGCCCTAAAACTATGTTTGACAGCAGGCACTTCATCTAACTCATGTCTTCGCTAACGTGTTATAAATATAACCATAAAAAACCAGCACGGGGAAACTACTTCAATACACAATTAATATCTACAAAACTGTTGCTTCTGTGCAGAAACATGTGGAAACAGGAAGAAATTATACTTGAGACTTTCACAAACAAAATTTTCAGTTCAAACAGGACATACAAATTAATGCCATGAATTTAATAAAGACATAAAGTTGTGGGTAAGTAGATTTTACAAGCATTTGGTACAATATGAACAAATCCTTATATTATTAAACAAATGAACAAGACAAGGCATATTAAAATTTTATGAAGATTGTTCTTATAAGTTTCCATTAAGTAAATAAATATGCGTTGGGATGATAAAAGATTGTTCTTCCAAGATCATAATATTCAAACAAGGTTGCGTTAGAGCGCCGTTGTAATATAATATTAAAGGATAATGATTAAAAATTACATAATGCATTCCACTATAGAAACCACAAAAACCATCTAGCAATTTAATCCCTGTTAGTGTTATCTTTCCATGATTAATCCACAATCACAATCCACAGATTATACTGGCCCCTAGTAATCATGCCTCTAAATTTAGACCACTAGCAGAGATATGAATTTGGATATGGTAGGGAGACAAAAACAAAATAAAAATGGAAAAAAAAGTTAATTAAAAACACGAAATATCAATTTGATTAATTAAGTTGAACAGTATAATTCGTGTTAATTTGAGAGGAAAATGAAAGTGATATATGAATGGTTGTAGAAGTCTGATATGAAACAACACTGGAGACAGCCAACATGGGCAGTCCATCAAGCCTATCAATTAGATATTGTGAATACATTTAATATATGGGTCCCTACTATCACTCTTTCTGTCTAATGCTATCTGTTTGCTTTTTTAATCTTTTGGGCAAAAAAAAAAAAAAAAAAAAAAAAAAAAAAAAAAAAAAAAAAGAAAGAAAGAAAGGAAGAAAAAAATGTGAAAAGAGAGGAACAAGTACACAAATCTGTGGCTAGAAAAAACAAAAATGAAAAAGAGGGAATTGAGGCATCAATTATGGAACATAAAATTTGGACCATTAATAACCACTTGGGATTAACTGTGAAATGAAATATAATAATAATGGCTGAGTGTGTATGAATATTTATTGTTAAAATGAAGTAGATGGAATAGCTGAGGATTAGGATTAATTGAAAAGGGATAAAGTGGTGGTGTTGTTTTCAAGCTAAATAATACACAAAGGTATTATGTTATTGTACTATCAGCTGCAAGGCATGGGATATAACATTCATAAGCAGTCCAGTGCTATATTTATATAGTAATGCAATTTGCATAATAAATTAATCAAACTGCATGAATTAGCTATAATTATGCACACAAGGAAAGCATAGTATAGGAACAGTCACAATCACAATCACATTACAGGACTACTCATTGCATCTCCAGGTAATAGACCAATTTCAAAAAGAAAATTCAGTAGAAAGAGAGAGTGAAAAGGAAAGAAAATCGGTGCCTTTTAGTGTTAGTTATAATTAGAATTTATAAGAACAACAAAAAAGTTAATTAAGCTTGCCATTGAGTTATGAGATTTAGAGAGCATACTTTGGGAGAAGGGTAATTAAGCTTGCTATTGAACACCATCTGAGCCTCGAGATCAGTATGAGAGTTGGAACCAGAAGGCAATGATCTCGGCCGAAGAAACCTCTCAAATATAGCCATAACAAGGAACATTGATATGAGAATAGCAGTGGCTACGAACCCAAAAGACACTGCATTCACCGAGTTATCAAAATGCCTCCAATGCTCTTCCCTCTCCATATTCAATGGAGCCACTGTTGGTGGCGGTACCATCACCCAGCTGCTATGATCTTCACCACCCATTAAACCCTTTACTTAAAACAACACAACACAACACAACACAACTCTTTAATTCTCTCATTACCCACTACACAAACTAATACGAAGCAGTAGAAAGATTACAAAACAACACATGCATTGTTGCAGTGAGAGGTTTCCCAAACTATACAAGCTAAATTAGTTGAAATAGAGGCTTTTTAAAAAGGTTTATGTTTATGTTGTTAGTAAAGGTGGTGCTTTCTTTGGTGTTGAGGAAGAGAAAGATGAACGTGCGTGTGTTTCTGAGAGAGAGAGAGAGAGAGAGAGAAATGGTTGGAGGTTGAGGTTGAAAAGGGAGGTTTTAGTATGATAAGTTGTTATATATAATTAGAGACGAGATTGAACAAGTTAGCTAGATATGTGGTTTAACTTTTTTTCTCGTTTTGACCATTCGGAATCCAGTAATTTCTGGAAGTGAATTATTATGCCTTCTTACTCTTCGCTTTGGTCTTTACTCTTAAACTGCCTCCATTACTGTTAACTCTGAAAGACTTGTTTCTTTATGTATGTAGGGACTCTAAATTCAACGTTGAATTTCATATTAACAACAGTTCCGTCTTTAAAGTTTATATTACACAAACAACAAACACAAGTTTAAAAAAATACAATACACCCTCAATACTTATTTAACCTGACCAAAAACAATCTTAATTCATTAATTGCATAATTAAGCTCATTTGGGAGAGACTGGTAGATGGTCCCCTCCACATCATGCTCATGGTATCAACTATCACGTGTGTCCCGTGCGACAGATCCCTATGTTGTGGTCCCCACGGGGACCACTTAGCCACGTTTCAACGTAATGAGGAGCTTTAATTTAATCGACGTACTGCACCGGAACTGGGCTATCAAGTTATAGTGCAACACCGGAGGTTTGAGATCAGGGATGGGGGCCAATCACCACCGTCCTTTGAAAGCATCTGTAAACGTTAAAAGATGATGATTAATAAAAGGGTAAAAACAAAAAAAAAAGGAAGAAAAAAGTATGGTACTGAAATAGAGTGGTGGGACCGGGCCGCAGGGGGCCCGTGCCAGTTTTGGACTCACGTGAAAGACTTTCTCTCTTTGCTATGATATTATGCACTGATGCTATGCACATCTTTCTCTCCTTTTGATGCTATGCTAACACGAGTTGTAGGCTGGGCTCTGCCACAATGGACCCACTTTCTTTTTTTATTTTTGGAAAATTTCTGGAACTGGGCCCTGTTCATGGGTCGGGTTGTAGATAGACAAGGTTAATTTTTTTTTTTTTTTTTTTTTAAGGTAACAAGTATATCCGAATAATTTATCGTATACTTTAACTAATTTTCAGCGTTTATTAGATATTTTATAAATTTAAATGACTAAAAAAATTATAATATTATTATGGTAGATGACCTAAAGTTTAAACTTACAAACCAAAAAAAAAAACAAACCTTTTTGACAATCAAACAAATCCCTTAAGGTTGACAAGTTTAAATTTTAAAATGATTAATTAACTTGAATGTTAGTTTTCACTCTTTTTTGAGAAGATATTTAATTTATTATTGGGTTTCTCATGTGCTCAAATATTACTTATTCTTCAATTAAAGATGTTACTTAAAGAATTGAGGAACAACAATATTCATTAATGTTTCGTATTCAAGTATGACAAAATCAGGGAAGAACAATTAGATAAGCAATATATTTTTTAAATTATATTCCAATTTATTTTGTGTCATAAATTATATATTTATTTGAGATTAAAAAAAAAAAAAAAAAAACAGTAATAATCTTCTTGATTTGATCTTCCTTCAAATTAGAAAGATATTACAAGAAAAAAAATTATGTGATAAAGGGAAATATGATTAAAAGAAAGTTAGGACCATAGGTTGAAGATGAGTTTTACATTGTTAATGATCCTAACTTCACTATTATTCCATACTGTCTCTATATAGTACAACAATTCTATAACAATTAACTAGTATATATGAATATGATAAAGATTTTTCCTTGATGCTGTGTCTACATCTGCGGCTGCCTAAGGGCACAACAGTGACTGCAAAGCTCTTTCTCTCCTTCCTCTTCTATTGGTTCCAAGCTATTCCACCCACCGCCATTTGCTGATGTGTCAAACACATGAACGTCACACTTCGACCTCGATATCTCCCCCGGCATCCTGTAACCTGCCAAGAAATATAACTGTGACCCAATTGGAGCCATCGTCAGGTATTGCCTTTTGATTGGTGGCCAATTTGCAACTGATGTTGATATTGGAGACGACAGTGTTTCTAAATGTGACCCATCTACCTCGTTCCATATATTAAGTTCCCCATCAAATGCTTCGATGTGTCCTTTCCATACCTTTAAACAATCACCTGAGCTGAAAAGTTTATCATCAACGGCCACAATTTGATTCGGTGGGACGTCTAATTGCCACATCCCTCTTATCAAATCCCACTTCGCATTTTCAAAGTCGTACACCTCGGCAGAGCTCCGCTCCATGATTCCCCATGGTACAACTTCACCATCGGAGTCTCTCTTCTCAGCAAACCCACCTACCACGTGGATTTTCCCCTGCCACGTCACTGCCACACATTTGTATCTCAACGTGTTCATGTTCGGCAAAAGTTTCCATTCATCAAGGGCTGGGTCGTAAACCTCAGCAGACGAAGTTCCACGTGCGCTTGACAGCTTTGACTGTCCTCCTGCCACGTAGATTTTGTTATCACACACGGTGCAAGCAAAGTCAAACCTGGGGACACGTAGCGGAGCACATTTGGACCAAACATCCATAACTAAGTCGTAACGTAGAACCCGTTGTAGCACTTCAACATTAACCTCAAAGATTTCATCAGGTTCATGGCCTGGAAATTTCTGACAGAGCCTGCCCCCGATAATGTAAATGAAATGACCAATGGAGACCATGGAAAAACTCTTTAAAACCTGGTTCTCAATAAGGCCAGGGATGGTGGTGACACGATGCCATGCATTGTTTGATGGGTCGTAACATTCAATCCAGTTGGAGATTTTTGCTGTGCAAAAGGAGGCGTAAATTCGATAAAAAGTTTCGGAAGAAGGTAGAGGGGAGGAAGGAGAAGGGAGCTGGGGTGAAAGGGATCCCATGGAGCTTTAGTGTGGTTTGTGTGTGAAGGTGAGGGAATTGTTTAGTGTGAAGGGGAGATGGAGATATAGGAGAAGGTGGGTGGAGATCACTAGAGAAATCTAATTTGTCATGGACGAGAAGGTAGGTGAGAAGAGGGTGGTAAATTTCTGGGTTTCGGGCGGAGCTGATGATATCTAAGATTTTCTTGTTGAAATGTTTGGTTTATATGATCGATGCTTACATTGTCCATTCTTTGGTTAGGACTCAGGGTTGGGGAATACAAGGGACATAAATATCAATAGAATCAAACTTGGAACTTCAAATCAAAATATATTATAATATTAAAAATACTACGGACACGGGCATTTTTGCACCGAAATGTTATACCGGCCTATGTGTCCCTCAATTCACACCAACAAACCAGACATGTTTTACGTTATTTTTATTTTTTTTCTAGTGAACGGTCGTTTACTTACATGGACTCCCGTCCATATTATATGGACGGGGGTCCATTTACTACAGACGGGCGTCCCTATTTAAAGGACGTCCATCCATGAATAAAAAATGCTTATAAAAATTACGGACAGTCGTTCATAGGTTATGGACGGCTGTCCCTAAATATTGGACGAGCGTTCATATTTTAATGGACGCCCGTCCATTAACAATTCTTTTTGAAACATTAAAAAAATTTAGGGACAATCGTTCATTAATTAGGGACAACCGTTCATCAATTATGGACGGCCGTCCCTTAATTTTGGACGGGCGCCTACAAATAAGGGATGTCTGTCCATTATGTTTGGACGGGCGTCTGTAAGGAATGGACGCCTGTCCTTATCCTGGTTTGAAAAACAAAATAAAAAATTTGGACGCCCGTCTTTGGATGGGCGTCCCTAAGGAATGGACGCCTGTCCCTTATTGTGTGTTTTAAAAAACAAAGTAAAAAATTTGGACGGCCGTCCATAAATTGTGGAAGGCCGTCCATTAAGTGTGGACGGGCGTCCGTAAGTAATGGACGCCGGTCCATTATTGTGGTTTTAAAAAAACAAAATAAAAAACTTGGACGGCCGTCCCTTAAGTGTGGACCGGCATCTGTAAGTAATGCACGCCCGTCCATTATGTATGGAGCCGTCTGTAAGTTACAGACGGTCGTCCATAATATAATGAAATTTTTTTTAATAAGATTTGTTTTTTTATTTGCGAATAACATTAGCTTCTCCGATATGCTTCTCAAAAAACCAGCGGCAAAATTCTTCGACCGAAAGAAAACTTCATTTTATACCTATTGCCGCCTTCTGTTTCATCGTTGCCGTCTGTTCTTTGCGTCTGCATTCCTCAGCCATTTCTTCCTCAACAGCCGTATTTTCCTCATTTTCCAGCTACCGTGACAAGAACGAAAGCTATAAACTTTTCATCAAACAATTTTTTACAGTGGAAAGGGAGATAAGAAGATCAAAATTTGTCCAAATTAGAAGGATTTGTTGAGGTTGTTAACCGATTTTTATTTAACTTATGTATTTATTTAGTTTTGTATTATATTTTGGATTGAATATTTGTTACAATAGAAAAAAATTGATAGAGAAAATTTGTTGGTGATTGTTATGAATCAGATTTGTGAACGCGAATACTAGTATTGGTTTTGCATTAAATTACAGAATATGGAAGAGTCCAATTTGCCTCATTTCAATGATGTTGAGGTAAATTGTGCTCGAAACCTTAATTTTTTCGTTAACATGATTTTAAATTTATTGTATCGTTTTGTTTCTTTTGATGTGTTGTATTAGTACATTCTAATTTTGTCTATTATAAAACAATTAAATGATCAAGAAAATGAACGTGATGAATTAGAAGATATGGGATGTGCAGAGGAAGAAGTAGAGCCTCATATTGGAATGGTGTTTGATTCAGTTGATAGTCTGGTAAAGTATTACAAACGGTATGGTAA